GGGGGCCATGAGGGTGAGTGATGGCCCTGGCTGTGAGTGGGGGCCCCAAGGGTAAGTTGGAGACACGGGGATGGTGGGTGCTGTGCGTCTAGGCTGGGAGGGGGAGAGCAGGTCCTGTCTCCATGCAGCCCACAGTCACCCACACTCACGTTCCCAGGGTCTCCGGGGGGAAGGTGTCATGTCTTGGAGGGCATGAGTCCAGTGGGCCCTCCCCTGCACCAGGACTGTCAATATTTTTATTTTCCCACCTCACTGGCTGCCCCACAAGACAGAGACAACATACCAGCTGGCTCCACAACCATTATATCATGTGTAGTTCCCGCCCCCCGGCCACCCCATGCTGTCCTTGTCCTTGCACCGCTGGGCCAACCCTGCTCAGTGGGGGGTCCTGTTATGAGGACAGCTTTACCTGAACCTCTTCCTGGGATCCTGGAGGTGTGGGGTGTGGGGTTGGCTGCCCACGGGCTGAAGGAACAGGGACAGTGTGGTTTAGGGTCACACTCAGACGCTGCTCTTCTACTCTCTGTGGACTCAGGAGACCCACACTGGTCTACGCCAGCCCATAGACAGAGGGGGCCTACACTGGTCTACACTAGACCATGGGTGCAGGACTCCCACACTGGTCTACACCAGCCTGTGGACTCAGGAGACCCACACTGGTCTCCTCCTGTCTATGGATTTAGGAACCCATACTGGCCTCTTCCTTTACGTTGGGGGGCTGCATGACCTGTCAGACTGCCCTTCCCTCACCGCTGGGAACACGTGCATAGTGCATCTGAGCCAACCAATTAGCAAGGGCCAACCACGTGTCTGTACTCAGGAGATGCGGCAGTTCCAGAAAGTGAGCGAATGTGTTCGTGGGCACTGGGCCCACTGTTCCACTTGACAGCCACACCTAACGCCGGCATTCCGGGCCTGTGTCCCCTTGGCCTGCTTCCCTTGTGTTCTGCCACCAAACCGCACTTCCACTGAGCTTCCCCATTCAGCTTCTCTAAACAGCCCAGCAGAGGTTGTTCTCTCCCTGTCAGCTGACGTGGCGTGAGCTCCGACTCACATGGCCCCAGGTGCAGCTGAATGCCCTGCCGCGTTCAGTGCAGATGGTCGGCCCCATCTTCACCATCGCTGTGCGTGGGTCCCTTGTTGTGGCCTCTGTGTCTCGAATGTCTTCCAGCCTCTAGGGGCTCATCGCCAACTCTACGTCGGACAGCATTCACTGTGATCCATGGGTTTTCCTGGCTGATTTTCAGAAGTGGGTCTCCAGGCCTTTCTCCCTAGTCTGTCCTAGTCGGGAGGTTCCACTGAGAGCTGTCATCGTGGGTGATCCTGCTGGTGTTGGAAACACTGATGGCATAGCCCTCAGCCGCATAGCCACCGCAGCAAGACTCAGGGACAGACGGGTGGGTTCTCCCTCTGGGTTCTGGGTAACCAAGGGAGTACCTTCTCAATACCACACTCTTGGGGTCCTTTGTCTCCCCCATTTCCCCTTCTCTTATCTGTTCCGTACATTCTCAGCACTGCCGCCCCCATTGCCCACATTGCCCACCCGGCCTGGGGTGCCTGAAGGTGCTGGTGAACACAGAGCTTGGACTTGCTGAGCACCTGCACAGCCTCCCCAGTGACGGATCCCAGACCGCAGGTGGGAGGCTGCAGAGGCGCCAGCTTGTGCAAGGCTGAGGGCCCCACACCCACAGTTGGGACATATGTTCAAGGGGCTGCTAGCTTTTTATTGGAAGGACGTCCACTCAGTGCTGGGCCCCCAGGTCAACAGAGTAATGTGGATCCCTCTGTCCTTCCTGGTAAGTGGACTCCATTTAGGCAGTCTTTGGTCACATGCTCAGACTCTCATGAAACATGTAAGTCACATGACCCAGTTACCCAGTCACATCCTCACTGACCCAGTTACTCAGTCACACCCTCACCAAGCCAGTTACCCAGTCACACCCTCACTGACCCACTTACCCAGTCACATCCTCACTGACCCAGTTACTCAGTCACACCCTCACCAAGCCAGTTACCCAGTCACACCCTCACTGACCCAGTTACTCAGTCATACCCTCACTGAGCCCTCACTTGACACAGTTACACAGTCACACCCTCACCAAGCCAGTTACCCAGTCACACCCCCACTAAGCCCTTGTTAATGAGCTCTTACTGCAGGTGCCAGAGGCAGCCACCAAACACTTTGTACTGGTCTTTGCTGGCCTTGGTCCAA